CTACATCAAAGTACCTGTGCCAAAAAGTAGGAGAAAAAAGAACAATTGTTTTTGTTTAAGTTTCTCCTAAATACTGTGATCCATGGTACAGGATGCAATTATATCTAACTTTTAAAACTGAATGTAAACCAAGATTTTAAAAGAAGCTATGCGATTTAGACACACAGAGATTTCAACAATATCCATGGAACTAATTTCTGACCATTTGATATTGCAGACTTTTTCATTGTTGCTAAATATTTCTCCTCTTCATGAAAAAACAGATAAATAGTTTAAGTACATACCCACTCAAGTACAAGAGTTCAAAGAGATAAGGAACAATTACTCATTATTCCTCAGTTAAACCAAATCAGTTAATTCATCGAACTGCACTCGGAACTATTTATGGACATGACAGTGCAGATCTAATATCCCTAGAATTGGCTATTTCTGCTTTCTTTGATACACAGAGCGACAGCATATATGGATAAAACATTAGCATAGTCTATATAAAGCAAAATGTAACTATTGTATACAGAATCACAAAATAGTTGAGGCTGGAAAGCACCTCTGGAGATCACCTAGTTCAAGCTCCCTGTTCAAAGCAGGGTCAGTGAGAGCAGGTTGCCCAGGGCTGTGTCCTGTTGGGTTTTGAACATCTCCAAGGACAGAGACTCCACAGCCTGTCTGGACAATCTGCAATTTTGCAATACTTGTAAACACAGGGAAACATTTAAGATTAAAAACTGCCTTATTTTATACAGGCACTTATTTTTATGCGTAGTGAGCTGCATTTTGCACTTCTTGATTGAGAAGCTGTAAAACATTTTACAAGACTGAACAGGGAGCAATACCAACATAGTCCTTGCTATTACGTAAGCATTTTTTTTCCAACAGCTGATCCACATAAGTCTAAATAGTCAGCAATTAGAGGCCTTAGTTGTTTAGCATCAGCAATAAAATTATCAGCAGAAGATTACCACTTCAAACCATGGAGTCAGTCCAAGCAAGTTTCAGTAGACCAGCTACTCATATTTGGACACAGGTTTACTCAGGCTCCTGAGAAATTGTATATGGTGTTGTAAGCTCAAATCTGGCCCTAGGTTTGAATCCGAACTCTTTTTTTTTCCACATTATTAAAACTTTCTACCCAAAAATTCTCTTCCTCAAAATTTCACAGATCTTCCAGGATCAGCAAAGCATGCCGAGTGCTCCCCAGGGACCCCAGGTAATTATTTCAAGTACTTTCATCCCTGGGCTGGTAGAAGCTACTTCTTAATAGTCCCTGACTCCCCACTGTTAAAAGCAGATTTCAAGTTTCACCGGTACTTAGCTTCCATTTCACAAGCTGTCAAATGACTAGTCAAAATGTCAGAAAAAGGAAATCGGTTCTGCAGAGTTTTCAGGTTTTATTGTTATCAGTTACCAGATAATTGGCCTACTCATGCCTAAACAAAAATAATAAATGTTAACGCTTTACTAGTTGCTAAAAAGAGCCTGGCAATCTTGAACAGCATTAAGCTGCATGTGTTAAGTATGGCAATACAACAAAATTCCACCTTCTTCTCCCCATGAGGGTTTTGGTGAAATGTGGGCCCTTCCTCACTTCTGCAGCATAAGCATTGACCCTCCCTCCGGGAGCAAGCTCTTAATTTAAGCACTGAGAGCAGCAACTGTAGCAAATACAGGAGACTTTGAGATATGTATTTGGTACTTATAAAGAAGAACACAATGGCTATACTGTGTCAGAGGGAAGGTACACTTAGATTTTGATAATGTCTCCAGCTGTGGCCAGTAATAGATGCATATGGAAGAATATATGAACACAATAGGCTTCTTTCTCTCTTTCAATACAATAGGACTGTAGCACGTTTTTTTAACGGAAAGGATGGTGTTAATGTAGCTAAATGTGGATATCTCCAAGGCAGTTACAAATGTATAAGGTTCCCTCTCTGGAATAATCATTTTGTAATCAGTGAAAAATTATAAACTACTTCTGATTCCAGGTTCTAAATGTCACCATAAAGTCGATACCAAAAAGACACATGAGCGAATCATGTGTGTTAGCACACTTAATGGAGCAGGGAAGAGGTCTTGATGTATAAAGCTGATCTGCTGACTGTGGGAGCTGATATTGCTAAAAATAAGTCATTGCTCACCATCAATGCAGGATGTAGCCATCCCAATAAAATAAATTTTTATAAAATAAAATAAAATAAAATAAAATAAATGCTAGAAGAAATGATGGATTCTATTATCAGGGCAATCACTTGTTCTTCCTCAGTCAGCAGAGTTGTCATGGAGCAATGTAAGTTTTCTCATCTTCCTGTTTGTTTTTTGTGTACTAAACTGGTGATTTGAAGCATACAAAGTTTTGGAAATGTGAATACCATGTTCTGACTACCAAAGACCAGTTACAGAATGTGATTGGTTTTTAGGCAAAATCTTTTTTATGACTAGTCTCCTGTGACTTCACGGTACTTTTTTCCTCTCTTTGTTGATTAGACTCACATTCCTTCTAAAGGTTTTCTTTGTAACATTATTTTTTTCCAGCAAAAGGTATTTAGCAGTAACTCCTTAAGAAAAGACCAATCAGCTGATTGCCTAAAAACTTTTTCCTTAGATCTCAGGGCTATCAGTCAGATCAATTAAGTCATATTTAAATTGCTTTGATTTTAAACATTCATGAATCCACAAGGCAGCCAATAAAAAGAAAATACCCCTATACTGACAGCTTAAATGGATCTCTGTGTGAGTCAAAGCTGTTGAGATTCAATTTCCTTTAAATCTGCTGCCTTGTTCAGGTGTGCTTGGCCTTACTGACCAAGTGAGTGACTGCGGTGCCATTGCGCTCAGTACTGAAACTCACACCAGTGGAAATGAGACTTGATTTCCAAATCCCAGCGCTGCAGCAGTACTCAGCTAGGCTCTTCCTGCTGGTCTTTTAAATTAAGGCAAGTCGTTGATGATAGCCTTGCGGCTCCCCTGGTAAATCTTCAGAAGCCATGCAAGCAGGATGTGATAAACCTAGGATGGTAGCTGGATGCATTTCGTCAACAAAGCTCTTTTTTTCACAAAAGGATGTTAACCACTTTCTCAACTATCTAAAGCTTTCCAGTTTTATTTTTGTTCATTGCCAATACATAGAAGTGGAGGCTTGGCTTGTCTTGCTCAAGAGGTTCATACTGTCGTACTCAACATCCTATGCCACGATAGCATTATGAAGGCACACATTGACAGGAAAACAAAAATAACTTCAGTTCCTTCCTTTCTAGAAGTCTTCTAAAGACAGAGTGCATGATGTTATATTTGTATGGCAAAAAATCAGGGGGAGCTGCATTTATTCATAATTACTGTTGCTTTATTCCAGAGGAACTGAGCTTAAAACCAGATCTGCTCTAACAAGCAAAAGGAAGATCATACTTTTGAATGATGGCTGGTAAATGAAAGGGCTAAATTTTAGGAAAAGACAAATCTATTTTGGCAGTAAGCAGCTGGTTTTACTGCCTTCTGAGCATCACTTTTTAGTCATTCTGCACAGTTTGTATTTCTGTAAACTGCTGCAAAGTAAATGATAAATTCTTACTGAGAAAAGTTATGAGCAAATCTCATATTTCAAATCCTAATTCATGGAATCCTATGGAAAACTTTATAATATAAACTCATAGTCTTTATTTCTCATATTCTTTCATTGTCAAATAATTTAATCTGCTTTATTCCATGAACAATTCTCATTATATTTTATTTAGCAGCTTGTTTTCCTATAAGTTTATATCCACATTTCACTTCATTATTTTTCCCATTTGTTATATGCAACAGCACAGGATTTTGAAATAAAAATATGATCCAGGTGAAGACTTGGTTTTATCTGTGTGTTTGCTGTGTAAGCTAAGTGTTTGTGGTTTTCCTTGCTGTGTGGATGATGTGGTTTTCAGATGTTTTGTAATACATTGCTTTTAGTGGACTATTAAGAATTCAGTATCTTGTCCCATTAAACAATTTTTTCCTCTAGAGCCTGAGGCTTGGATTTTGACATTTGTACATTAGTGAGAAGTTAATCTCTTTGAAGTCATCCTTATGACTAACTACTTCAAAATATGAATGCAGCTCTCAGAACCTGAGTTGTAACTCCCAGATATGAATCTACAGTTTGCTTTTTGTAAGCATTTTACTGTAACCAAAAGATTTCTCATCTTATCAGAATACACCTCACATGATTTATAGAGGCATTGACTCTGCAAATACTGAGCACAAAGCTTCCTTATAGCAATACCTTGCTCTATACCGAGTCTCCTGGCTCAGTCCTGGGATACTTGGAAGACACAACAGATTAGACCAGTATACAGTATTTTTCAGCCTGTTTATCATAGCTCTGTTTCTACCTTCCACAATTAATTATGTGCAGCTGTTTTGTCACTTTTTTCATAAGAAAAGATATGGAAGGAAAATTTAAACCTGAATATTTCCAGGCTGATGTTTGAAATGTGGAGGTACATCTTTCATTTAAAATTAGTTTGTCCAACTGCCTTCATCTTGTTGTATTTTCTTAAGTGACAAAGTAGAGAAAATGTATTTGAATTACCAAATCACATTCATAAATTTAGTCCCATTTTGAGGCTCAGCTTAACAGCAGTGTGCCGCTGTAGGGAACAGTTATCTTCCAAGACCATGGCTGGCCAGGAAATGTCTGATATATAAAATGGTTTGGTTTCTTGCCATGTTGGTAGGTTTGCATGTTTTGGATATTGCAAAAGTTTTTCAATATCACACAACCCAGACTATGGAAAGTGCATGTATAGTTTTAATCAGATAAGAATTAATCCCCTGACTTGTTTCAACAGATAAGTCATAGCTGATGGGACGGTAACATTCAACAGTTTAATCTGTGTGAAATGAAAGGGCTTTGGTAATGTGTTGTGCCATTTAAACAACATTCACATCAAATCATCTTGTCAGAGCAGTCTCTCTGATGCCTTTGTCAAAATCTGAGCACTTGACCTCATGATCTTTTGCCTTCTCAGGAATGCAGGTGCTGGAATGGAATGGCATCCCCTTGACTGGGAAAACTTATGAAGAAGTCCAGAGCATTATTATTCAACAGAGTGGGGAAGCAGAAATATGTGTAAGACTGTGAGTTTTTCCCCATCTTTCTGTTTCCATTTTTTTTGGCTTTTCATGGCTTTTTTTTTTTTTTTTTTAAATTTACAGTTGTTAAGGTGGAACCTTTGTTAGCATGAAGCATCAATAATATTGCTGTAATAAACAGCAAGAGTTCACTGTGAGTGTGGGAGGTCTGTTTGTTCTTTTTTTCTTTTAAAGTCATAAGGAAAGATAAGCTGAGGCAGATGTTAGTAATTATGCTTTTATAAACAATGATACTTCCATTGTCAGGCCACAGTCTCCTTTCATTGATACACATACGATTCACTGAATTTACTGGAGTTAGAAAAAGATGGTAATTTAGCAGTAACTTGACTTTTACTGAAATCTGTGTCCTTTAGATGAAAGTCATTTAAGCATCATGAGAAATGTATAAACTTGCATTCAATCCATTAAAGATTTCACCTTAAAAGAACCTTTTCTTCTCAGCTCTTTAACAGCATTGCAAATATGTATCAGCTAAGAAGGGGCCACGCTTGGGAGCTGCTTTCTGTCATGAACCACTATTCATTTATCTACTTAATACAATAATGAGGGTATGAGCAAAGAGTTGCTTTTGTCTCAGGCTTCTCATCGCTTTCTTTAGGGACCTGAACATGCTCTCAGACTCTGAGAATCCCCAGCACCTGGAGCTGCATGAGCCAGTAAAGGCAGGTAAGTGATAAATTGTTGCTTTGATATTGGAGGACTGGGTAGCAGCTGAAAATTGGATTTGATATAAGCTAGGGTATTAGCATTGGAAGCTCAGGTGTTACACCCCAAAGCTTGCCATGGGCAGAAAGGGGACCACACCTTACATACAAAGCCAAGCATTTATTGTTGTTTTTTTATTATTACCCCAATTCAATCCAAACTGACACAGTCTACATATTTAATTAATACAAAGGAAATATCAGTAACAATACTGCAGCTAACATTTGTTATCGAGAGAAAATCTCCTGCTAGGTACTCCTTCATCTATACATGCCACAGAAAACTGTGGCATAATGGTCCCCCTTCAGCAGCTTCTCGGGGCCCTGCAGGCAGTGCTTTCACTCTGGGGGCATTGCAGCAAGTCAACAGTGTCTTGAGGAATTTGCTGGGAAGAGTGTGATGTTTGTGGTGAGAGTTTTTGACTCCTCCTTGCTGGGAGGTGGATGATGTTGGTGATTCCTTCTTCTTCGCTTCAGGATCTCCTTCGGGCCTTTTTTATGTTTTCTAGCATGCCTTACTCTTTCCTCATCTGTCAGCAGCTCTTCATTACTTACGACTTGACTGGTTATTGTACACTTTGCATGTGATATATTCTTGTTCTTTGTTCCTTCTGTTGCCCCTAAAATATTGATTTTGCTCAGCTCTGGAGGTTGCATTAGTGTCAGTAACTGACCAGCGAGTTGCTGGTAGCCCTGGGGCCTCAGCTACCATGCTGTGCCCAAACCTTGCAGCACTCTGCTGTCACCCCAGGCCTGTGCTCCTATAAGCTGCATCATTAATCTGGAGTCAGAAATACTTCAGTCTATGCAGTGCAATTACTGATGTGCCTTTATATATCGAAATTATTAAGAATGGATATTATACTGCACAGTTATACAAGGTGAAGTGTAACTCAGACAAATTAAGGTCATAGCCATCTGGTCATTAGACAATTGCTGTTGCAGCCAGACAAGCTAAAACAAAGCTCCTAGCAAACTGGAGCAAGTCCAAATAAAACACAACAAGTCTTAAGGCCTATGTTAGCTTAATACAAGGTTTGAGGCCTTTTATTAGTGACAAAAATACAGTATTTACTAGGATACAGGGCTGCAATAGGAAGTACTTTGTGTGAAGTTTTGTTATGTGACTTCTAAAATGGCAGTGCTTTTGGGGGGATTCCCTTCTAGTCAGTCAATACCATGACTGCAGGCTCTAATCATGGTGTTAGTCATTTCTGATCTAACTTTGAACCAACATCCACAATCTCACTAGTAAAGGAGCCCTTCAGCAAGCCCAGTGCAGATTAAAAGAGTTTTACTGAGCTTCTCGGGGATCCATTCTGAGTTCTGTGGTTTTGTGGCTGCTTTTTTATCAGTCGGTGCACAAGTTACCTGGATTAAATCCTACTTTTTCTGACCATGTACCTCTTCTCAGCTATTAATATACTTACCATCAAGCTACCTTTTGTTGAAAATGTATGTTATGGATATTAATTGAAAGTGAATACTGAGTCTGACAGACGTTTGAGGCAGAGCTACCCACAATTTTTTTCTTAGTGAGCAGATCAAAAACACCAAAGGCATTCATAGACACTGAAATTGTGTTTTGAAAGGCTGGAAGCTAGAATACATAATATTTTTTATTAGTGGAGAAAACTCGAAATGAGAAAGAACAGAAATAAAACTAAATTCCCCCATTCTTGCAGGCATGCTTCCTCCTAGTCTAGCAATCTTCTAGTGGTTTCTGAGTTGGAACAACTCTGCAGAGCCCCTTCTCATTGCCAAGCCAAGTCTTTCTTGCTGCCAGCTCCAAGGTTTTACAGACTGTTGGTGCTTTGGAAAGGAACAATCTCCATTCCCTCTAGAAAGATAAGCCAAACACAGCCTAGCAGGCAGGATAAGGCTAAGGTATTGCCTTAAACCTCTCATACTTCTGAAAACCTGGGAAACAAGCTAGTATCCTTCTAACTCTACACACCTGAAGGCATGTATGAAACTTGCTTGACCTCATTTCTCTATTAAACGGAGACTGTCATCTGTAAAGGATAAACTTTCCCCACTCATTGCCGGGGCAGCAGGGAGGGCAATTAGACTCCTACCACAGATGCCTCACATAGCTGTGTGTAATAAGGGAAGATGAATCACGGCTTTTGCTCTTCATTTGTTTTCATTTTATTCTGCTTTGATTAATTTGCGGTGCTAAAGTTTTGAGCCTCTTTTCTCTTTATTTTTATATAAATTATCTCAGGACCAGAATTCAGTTTTATTGAATGTCCAGTTGATTAAAAAAAAAAAAAAAGAGATTAAAGCTTTTTACAACAAACTTCAGATACTTAGTGAAACTGGACCAGTTCCAAAGACTGAAAGTTAACACAGGCCAGTCTTTAGAACTGTAATTTGCTCCAGTATGATTCAGCATGATCAGCAAGGCCTATTTTTCTTCAGCTAGAGAATAACATTTGCAGAAAGCTTGTGAGATGAGTAGCACTAGTTGACAGAGTGTTGAGTAGAAAGATTGGAATTGGGATGTTGTGGGGGAGATGTCTATTTTTTATAGGTTGTCTTTTGCATCTTCACAGTATACAAGCAGATGATATGAAAATTTGTGAAGATCATTATCCTGTTCCTGTACCATGGCAAGATGGATTTGAATGTGCTAACAATTATCAATACAAAGTTCTCTTACTTTAATCCAGTAGATAAAGCGAAGTCCCCAGGGGTTGACCCCAAGCAGCTGGCTGCAGAGCTCCAAAAGGTTTCTCTACAGCAGTCGCCTCTGGTTGCTTCCTCAGGAGTGGAAAAGGGATCTCACGTTCATTCTGGAACCACTTCTGCCACCTCCAGCGCTGTTCCCAGCCCTGGTCAGCCTGGTTCTCCCTCAGTGAGCAAAAAGCGGCATAGCAGCAAGGTAAGCAACTTCTCAGTTATGCAGCAATAACACTTTGATGACAAGAAGAAACTGCCTATTTATCTTCTTTAGTGCAGCAAGAATTCACAGCACATATTGATGAGTTCATTTCCGTGACAGTGAGGAGTACTACTGTTAAGATATAGAATTTGGACACAAGGAAAGGAGATTATGTGATTTATCCAAGGTCATAAATGATTGAGCCCTCCCTGAAAACAGATTTCTCAAACTTAATACTATTGTTTTTAAACAAAATAATTGCCCTTTTCATTCTTTGCTGCTGTTGCTTTTTAAGTGCATCCTACATGATGGTGAGTTACTAGTTCCATAGAAGCAGCTGATATTACTAAGACCATAATTTCCATCTCTATACTGAGCTACTATTGGAAGTGTTACAAACTATGAATAATCATAGCAATATTAAGCATTTCCCTGAAAGCCAGGGAAAGAATGAAAAATAAATTTACCATCAAAATGTGTTTTGTCACTAGCTAATTCCTGTGAACTTGTTAAGCATAATTTCTTATTTTCTTTGCCATATCCTGTCCATTTCTAAGCTGAACTTCTTTCTCCTCGTGCACCCACCTGCACACCTGGAAAGGACAGAGTAGGAATTTAGTAGCTTTTTTTGACAATTGAAACTGGAAACTAGATCACAAAGTCACCTGTCACATTTTTGCGTTTTGTGTCAAAAAAGTTAACATCTGAAGTGAAAATCAATCCTGTGAAGACTGCATTTGCGTAAGCAATCTGCAAGATAGCTAAAGCTGATTGCTATGCTGAATACTCAGCTTCTCACTGTCTTACTATTGGAAGCAAAGCTTCACATTGCAAACAAGATGCTTTCTAGACACTTATTTCTCTGTATCTTTATTCCTTCTTGGGACTGTCAGGTTCCTACTGCGTTATTGTTATGTTTGTATTTTTGCACTGTTGAAGCTATGACTGTGATTTGAACTACAAACGCGTTAGGTGCTGTACAAACAAAAATCAGCAAACGGTGCCTGCTCATTTCAGATAGCTCTTCAATACGCTTACATGACTTTCAGGTGAGGGGAAACACAAAAATCTCTTTCATCCAGCAGTTTAGCAAAAACTGTAAATATATTTATTGATCAGTTTGTTTTGGATAGTAATTCTGTCTTGCCACAATTCCCATAGACTGTTTATGAACTAATTCAGGTCTATTGATGCACAAATTAAATCCGTATGTCAAGATTTACTGCACCTAACTTCAGGGATCTGGCAGAATTATCAGGTTAATAGTTGGTTTAATTACACCCTACTCTGGATATTGTAAACATGTACCTATGAACTACTTTGCTGTGTACTTTATATTTACCAGTGAGAATAATGCATTTCTGAAGTACAATTCATGAGACTGGATGAAACCTGCCATTGAAGTGCATGCACTGCATGGAAAGGAGAGGACAGGGCTCTTTTAATGCAGATGTCACTGTCTACACTGAACCTCCTTTCATTTGGTCAGATGAATCACACTCCTAAATTCACTGCATAGTGTACTGAGATCCATAAATCCTTGATGTGCAGTGTATCCTGGAGAGGTGCTTCTCTCTGTCCCCATGAGAAGACTGGGTTCCCAGCTTTGGCACTGTAGCAGGTCACCTAAAGTTAGATGCATAAATTTCATTTACTGCTTCACAGAAGATTTAGTAATCTTTTATGAAAACTCAGCTGGAGGCTTATAAAAATGAAACAAAAAATTATTAAACCTAATGCCTTTATGTAGGGGATGCAAAAGTCAAAAATAATCAGGTAAATGTTTAAAACATTCTTTGCTTATTTCTGAAAATCATGTTGAGAGGCATTTCTTTCATAACAACTGTAGCTCTTGTTGACTTGTATAGTTTCTGTTCTTTGACTGCAGGCCAAATTTATAATGGTGTTGAGCTCTCTTAGAAGATAAAGCTACTGCTCATCCTTTCTGGAGCGGCTCTTTGCCTTAGGCTGACAGCATTTCTAGGCAGGCTGCAGCCTTGCCAAAGTATCAGGACAGACTAAATATCCAAACTGCCTAGATCTTGGTTTTGCTACTGTCCTTATTTTTAGCAAGTAAGATATTTTTTTTTTAGCTTTTTGTATAGAATGTACACTCCAGAAGTGTTGTAGGAGTCTCTTTGATATTCTGCAGTGCCGATTCTCTCATATTTAATGTTTTGTCCCATTACTACAGAGCGTGATAGTGCATAGCATCAGGGCCTGGCATTAACAAGTTTCACATCATGGTAATGACAACCTTCTCCAGCAGGTGTGATGGCATTATAAAGCCCCGGCTCTTGCACAGGGTGCAAGAGTGCATGCAGGGAGTATCAAAAGAAATTAGAATGAAATTAGATTAGCCATCACAGGAGAGATTTAACCTTTGGGAGCCTTGAGCTGTCTATGTCCTGTGCAGACCTGTTTCTTTTGTAATGTAAATGCATGATCATTCTACAGTGCAGATTACATCCAGCATATAAATGCTCTATAGAAACCTGTAATTCTCTTTGTATGTTGAAGAATGGGTTGTTTTTCTAAATCCTCAGATCCTTTAGCTCCTAGACAAGTCAGCAGTGAAATGCTTTTCCTTCTTTTCAAATTAATCCTCACTAAGGCCCTGATAAAGAAAGATACTTATTCGCATCTCTGCCTTTCAGTCCAGATCCAACTTCAAAGTTTGCCCAGCTCTGAGCTGGGGGTTGGACCAGATGACCTTGAGACGTCTCTTTCAGCCTAAATTATTCATGTTTCTTTGAGATATTTGGGTAGTTCTTCATGGTCAGTTTTAAGTCAGCTGACATCAGAGAGAAAACAAAATATTTAATAAACTGAATCACAGCCTTGTAAATGAGTGCAGAGATTTAGCAATGATATTGAAACATAAAAATGCACATTTATTTTTACAGACAAGTAGATAAAAGCAAAGTAACTGCACGGCTAAAGGGAACTCCACTTTAACCACCTTTGGAAGTTGCCACACAAATTCAGCATGCCCATTCCGTTTTCTCTGAACTCCTTCTACAGTATTGGTACTAATGCATTCTGTATTACATGATAGTTGGGATGAACAAACTCATTATTTTTGCTATTCAAACTTCTGAAAAATGAGAGCATTTAGACTGTCCGCAGCACAGCCAGCTCCATGTTATTTTGTAACATTGTCCGTATTGTCAGTGCGAGTACAGACTGGGGTCAGAACTATTGAAGTATACTAAAATCCATTTGTAGAGGTAAAGTATGAGAAATGTAAGCTGTTTAAGCTCTACTTTGAAAGGTTGCATGATGCTCAGGTAGGTCTCTGTCTTTGGCAAGACAAGTGAAATTCTCTCTTTGAGTATTCTTTCAAGGACGAAAAAAGATTTAGGAGTACTTTGCTACCTATCTAAAATATAATTTAAAATTCAGAACATTTTATAAACTACTGATGATCTGTTTTAGCTGTTAGAGGGATTACACTTCTTGAAAAGCTTTGTAAGGTACCAAGAAAAGCTGATTTAAAAATTTTCCATGAGAATTATTTTTGAGAGGCACATGCATTTCCAGAAAAATCAAGTTTGTTTTGGTTTTTTTTCTGAAAAAGCTTATGTTCATAAAGAAATACATCTAGAAGGCAAGGTAAAGCATGTAAAACAGAGAAAAATAAGGCAACACAAGACAGTGAATGTAACTATATAGCAGGCAGGTTTGAGCTGTTTTTATCCGTTGTTTTCTGTTGCACTAGTGTTTGGCTGGGATTTTTCTGATTAGTTCTGGTCTGCAGATCTGAGTGACTGAGGGGATGTTTCTTCCTCGCAAACCTGAAAAGGGTAGTGCATCACCTTAACTTCATGCTCTGGTCCAGGAGACGTAGGCTCCTAATTTAAATTGGCCTAATTTAAAACAATTGGCCTATTTTAAAACAATTCATATCCAACATCCTTTGAAAATCTCTAAGGGTTTTTTTGGCGGGTAGGGCAGCACAAAAGAGGCAGATGGATTTTACGCTTCTCAGAAAGTGAAAGAAATCCTAATTACACAGAATAATATGTCAGGCTGCTGGTCACATCTGGAAAAACAGGAAAAGATGACTTCCAGATCAGTCTTCAGAGAACAGTAAGTTTATCCTTATTTGCATCCTTTGTTTTCTGCTGCATCAACCAAGGAAGCAGATGTGGAGACAATGTAAAAGTATTCAAAACAAAAAAAAGTATTAAAAATCCAAAAAGTATTCAAATCAATCCAAAGTATTCAAATCCCACTAGTGAACCAGAGAGAGCTTTCTTGCTTGACTGATGCCTTGCAGATCAGAGATAGGTCCAGGGTGGCTCAAGGGCACCACCGTTTAATGGAACAACATATTTTTGAGAGTCCAGAATTTGAAGCAAATGGTGGTATTATTTTCCAGCTACTAGCAAATGGGAGGGAAGAAAAATGGGAAAAAAAAGACACCGAGTATTTTATTGCTTTTGTCAGCAACCTAGAGAAGCTCAGCGATAGAGAACAGAGAGGAATAGGCAAGATTATAGAGCACCGTGAAGGGGAGGACAGAAAATGTAAATTTCTTGTCGTGACAGTGTGTGGAGGAATTTGAAGTGGTGTAGCTGAACTGATTATTAGAAAACACAGACTAAAGCAAAAAATATTATATGAGATGGCTTACAATTGTGAAAGCCACTTATACTCATCACTCAGTTTTAGTACCATTCTTTCCACTCTTTCTACCCACTTTCACCTAAACTCAGTTTAAACTAGTGTAACCTTTGCCTTTCAATAGAAATATGGCTGTGTTGTGCTTGACATGGTATTTGGTTTCTCTTTGTAACATTCACTTTTTTCAGACATGGTTAATGCTATATGTCTCTTTCTCCCCACGCCTCCCTGTGTGACCAATCTGCTCAGACTGTAGGGGCTTTGGTGTTCAATTTGTCTGATTCTGTACCTGCACAAAGGCTGATCAAAATGGCTAAGCTAGACTTTAAGTGCTGTTGAAAAACCATAACTATTAGTTTTGAGCATACAACTTGGAGACAATTAAATGTTTTTTAAAAATATGTGGCAATACAGCAGTATAAACACCTGCTAAAAAAGTTAACTTTGAAAATCTATTATTTCCAGTATGCATATGTGTATATTTGTGAGTGTGTGCCTATGTAGTTATTTATGTATTTTAATCTGGCAGCCCACTGAAACTATGAAGTCTGCTTCTCATCCAATCACTGGAGAAATTCAGGTAAATATGTATTTTTTGCTGTGTAAATTGTTGTTGCTACTGGCTGCATTTTTCTGATGAATAAGTTTGCAGAAAACAATCTCCATTAACTGATTTCTTATTCAGCTTCAACCCCTCGGAATGTCACTCATGTAAGTCAGTGGTAGATTTTCACCTCTGTCTTTAATGTTGGCTTGTGAAATACAAACAGAAGAATGGAAAATGCTACTGTTCCTGAAGGGGCTAAAAATGTAATGAAATTCATTCTAATCTTTAATTTTTGGGCACTTATTGTGGTTTACTTCAGAAGTTCCTAAACTCTCTACATTTAAGCAAAGACTGCTGTGGGTTTCTCATAGTGCAGTGGATTCATTTCCATGCAATGCCAAGTTTGTGGTTCTCTAGTATTTTACTCTAGCTTTTTACTCTAGCTTTTAAAAACAGTGGAACTGGGAGCAGCAGAATAAATGAAGCTTAATTTCCTATTTTTGTTTCCCTAATTCATCCCTCTCTCCTATACTCGTACTAAGGGTCTTTCCATAGTATTATAACATCCTTCCCGGGCTTGGGCTCCAGGTCGTCAGAATTTGTGTAATTCCTACTCAATAAACTGGCTATTGATCAGAATAATATCAAGGGTTCGGATTTCGTCTGCTTTTTGCTGACTGGAATAGATCAATTCCTTTTTTTTTTTTTTTTAATTAATACTGACAGACTTTGAAAGCAAAATTTGTTTCAAGATCCAACATAGTCATCTAGCATCTCATTCTAGTCAGGAGAGAGAGACAAAAACTCCTAAAATGGGTTCATTTCCAGCCAAAGTAAAGCTCTAAAACTCATTTTATTCAAAGGATTTTGGAGAGTTATTGAATCATTTAGGAAGTAAAAATAACAAATCATCTTACTGTGTTTTAATGCATTCCCTAGCTTCAAATCAGCTATGACAAACACCTTGGCAACCTTATCATCCACATCCTTCAGGCGAGAAACCTTGCTCCCAGAGACAACAATGGCTATTCTGACCCCTTTGTTAAAGTTTATCTTCTTCCAGGGAGAGGGTAAGTGTAGGAGAAATTTTAGCTTGAACTTTCTTTTAATTTGCGTTTGTTACTTGTCACTAATAAACAGAACTGAGAGTTATTCCTATAGAAAATTCAGGTACAACATCAGGATTTTTAAAATCCACGTACAACATCAGGTGGATTTTTAATAGAGAGCCAGATCCTGTTCCCAGGAGAATGTACATACTTTGCTAATGACCTCAGGGACTTCATGATCATTCCTGTAGATTTAATTTTTTTTTCATGTTTCCAATTTAAAAATTCTAATACATGCAAAAATATGTATTAAAAGAACAACAGACTACTGAAATGTTCTAGATATATGTAATGCTTTCTGTAATATAGAAAGCTACTTGTTAAGTTTAAAATACAATCGTTGCTTCAGCTCAAGATTCCGAATTTTGGACAGTTTTGCAAACATGCCGAATTACAGTATCTGAGATAAATTTAAGGTTATAGTATAATACCAAAGGTGTACTAGACAGAAAACATTCATTGCATGTGATTTTTTACTTTTTTTTTTGAGAGCTAAGATGTGATTTTAGAAATTCTGGTAATTTTTTATCTACGGACTATACAAATCACTAATCACTTTTCCACAGACCATTGCTTTTTTAGACTCTGTAATTACAAATAGCTCATTAGTGTTTCCTTTAAAAGATATGTTTCTGTATCAGCAATATTATAACTCTTGTTTGTGCCCCAAAGTTACAGACTGTCATATGTATGTATAAGTATACATGGTTATAATAATCCCGCTGACTTCAGTGACACAATAACATATATAAAGCTGATGGATCAGACCTTAGATTGCAAGGAAAATTCCTGCAAACTTCTCTGCTTGTGTAATCACACTCATCCTAAAAGACTCTTAGGCTAGGACCATGCAACTAAAAATCTGTATTTCTGTTCTATTTAAAGTAACAGGAAAGTGTATGCCTGAGCATCACAGTTCACTGTTCAGTCACAGTTCAGCATTTGGCATATGGACAAGCACCACTAAAAGCACATGAATGGTACAATTAAAGGCATGCGTATTCTTTTGTAGTTTGCTAATTCCAGCTATACAGCATTCAATATTGTTTGATGGCACTGGGCCCAAAACTATTACTGAGTATAATGGGAACAGGTCCTAAATCTTGAGGGGTTTTTTAATGCACCTGAGAGTCTTGTAAAATACTTTTCACATCAATCTTACTGGGAATTTTGCAGGTACGTTCACTGATGTAGAAATAAGGCTTTGAACTAGAGAGATGTTCACCCTGCAGAGGTCTAACCCAGATCCAAGTATAGGTTTAAACTTGTGGCCAAGTTACGAAGAATTTGGATTTTAGTTCTGTTTGGGTTCATTATTTTAAAACATGGCAATGTTACAGTTTTGCATGTAACTTGGGGCATTAGGGAATAATGACAATGAAGAGCTGCTCAAAAGTGGCAAACTTGTTTTTGAAAGCAGAAACTTGAATTGCTACTGAATATCTTTTATCTGTAGTTCAGTCCATGCTAGACTTCTTATTCTTCTTAATGCCTCTATTTCCTTTGATTCTGATACTAGAAACTACCCATTATTCACACGTTTTCTTTCATCTCTGTTCTCATTTTCTCTCACACTGCTTCCTCTGTGTTCCTAACTCTGTAAATGCTGGGTATGCAGACAAGTCATGGTTGTCCAAAATGCAAGGTAGAGTGTACTATCTTCCTATTTTATTCGTTCATTTTTGTATGTGTACATCATATTATGATAAGCCTGTGCACTGAACTATACATTTCTCTTGAGTTTTGATGGCACGCTATTGCAGCATGGTTTTGCTGTTCATTCTCTAATGATCCCATTTCCAGGTCAGAAGGGACTGGAAAAAAGTAATTAATGTTCCTCGATGCAATAATATTCTAGGGCCAAACTCTGATGACAAATAAAAATATTTTTGAAGTCTGGAAGAATTTAGTTCAGAGATGTCTAAAAATTCATTCTCACTCACTGAAAGTTGCAAAATAATTAACTGTGAACTTGTATGAAGATTTTGAATGGCGTTACTACCAAGAGAAACAGGCACTGTTTGGAAATTATATGGAATATTTTTCTCTCTACACCTTGCACAGTGTATAGACATTAAAGCCAGGCATAATTCTAGATAATTGCCCAGCTGGCTTTAAAGCTACTTGACCATATAAATGGCTATTTGGGGTAAACAAAGTTGAATTTCTAGTTACTGAAATTACTAGTGCTTTGTTTGTCCTGGAGTTGGAAACATAAGGCAAAACTCCATTCTCAAGATATGCTAATATCAGCCCAGGCTAAGTATATAATAATAGTAATTCAGCTCTAATTCTAAATTTGTTTAAAAGTAGAAAACTGACCAAACAAGTAAACAGATGAATTCTAATAAACTGCTTTTCTCTATCATCAGCCTGTTTCTTCATTAATAAAATTATTTAATGAATGTGTTTAAATGCCACATTTTATATGCAGTTATTCTATTATACTTTTTTCATTGTACTTTCAGTTGTATTATGTATTAATAAACTATAATTAGAGAAGCATAGAGAAATGGTAAAGAAAAGAGTAATGCAGTCTTTATCTTTTCACATAGCATACTCTGAATTTCAAGTGCAAATTATTTCATGCTAGGTATAGGCTGGTTTAATGAATGCATTTTATTAAAGCATCTCCATCTGTTAATCACAATTGTTGGGGGGAAGGTGCATCAGTGGTATGAACTTAATGTATTTGCCAAATACTTCCCTTCAGAGATCTAGAAACCTTCAGCTGTCATCCAGCTTAGACTGGGTCTGCACCTCCTTAGAAGCGGTCAAGGTCTCCTGCTTCCCTCTGCAACAGGTCCAGACCATAGGTTTCATGAATGTGGGCTAACACCACCCTTGCCAGTTTAGATCCAGATGCTCTATGGACTTCAATGGAAATACTCCAGAGTTACCACACTAGCAACACAATTATCTTTTGTCACTGCAAGCTCTGAAACTCAACATTGCGTGATTCACCTTCTCACATATTTCTGAAAAGAATCAGAAACTTTGGAAAGATGATGAAGTTGTAATATTGAAAAAGAAAATCCAAGAAAGGAAAGGGAAGGTCTTGCGTCATTTTCTTGGTTGAGTGCACAAAGGCTTCTTTCCTACTTTCTTCAAAAAAATGAAAGTATATCAGTTCCTCAAAACCAGCAGATCATATGACATTTAGACAGCCCCAAGCTGTATAATACTATCTTGGCTTAGTTAAGGTAAGAAGTTAAGTGGGTTATTCTGGGTGTAGGAGGAGTTTGGATAAGTTAATATTTCATTAATAGTTGATCAGAATAGACTATTTGAGGACTGATCAGAATAGACTACTGTGAGCCCAGAGAGAGAGAGATGCTGCCAGCCCAGCTGTGACTTGCCCATGTCCCATGTCTCCTTAGGGGTCAGTCAAATCTCATTAATACTTTGAGTGATGGGGATGCTTTTCTCAGATCAGAGAGTGGGAAAAGAAGGCTCCTGAGGTGCTTAAGAATTTAAGTGCATTACTGAACAGGATTTGCTATCAAAATCTAGATTCCAAAAGGATTCAGATTTTGTATTTCAGCTTTCCTTCCAAGATATGCAAAGAAATAACTTTGTGTGAGTTTCTTTTTCACATGCTCTTGGTCCCCCTAGATTTTAATTCATCCTTTTCTTACTGACACACAAGAAAAAAGAAACCTTTTTTTTTAAAAAAAATATGGCATTTTATGCTGTGGCTGACAGAACTCATTGAACTGTGGAGAGCTGCTGCTTTCTTCTCATAAGCAGAGGTGGACAGATACTTTTTGTTTCACGGGTCCCAATGCCCTTCACATTTTTTGATAAACTGGAAGATAGTGGACAGCATGTTTTGCAAGAAAATAAATGGAACTACATAGAATGACTAGAGCAAAACATAAGAGCAAAAATAACTGCAAGTCCCTTTCATTAAAAAATATCAGTCTAGTAGGTAGCCAGTATATGGCCACCCCTGTTGGAGAATAAGGCCATTACACACTCCAGAATAATTAGAGGGAAGCACTGCACAGTAGAATTGAGCTTGTAGAGTGAAACTGCTGGTTCTGAAGACCCAACATTGACATATATGTGTCAGTAAAACACATGCATCTTTCACATAACCTTAGTTCGGACCTGCACCAACCTGGTACCATACATGGTGCACCATTAGTGACTAGCTGATTAAATGAGCCCCTGGAGTGCATCTTCTGAGTTAATCTCATGTGAAAGGAATGTAGTTCATTAGCTCCGAGACCATGTCACAGTGTGAACCAAAACACAGTTCAAACAAAAGTCAGAAGTGAGAATCAAGAGAACAGCACACTACCAGAAATTAACCTAGGGGAACCATAAGAGAGTTTAATAGGGCAGTTACAGGTCATTCTGTGACATTTGGCCTTAGTGCTGGAGAACAGTCCTGGGCACATTTAATTTAGTAATGGATATAGCACGTAAGTTCCTTAATGTATAGGAGGTTTGAACAGAAGACAAAGGGCAGTTGACTTGCAGGCTGGCAAAAAGAGGTTCTTTACCTTATATTTTGTTGAGTTTTCAAAATATTAAAAGCTTCTCATGTTCTCCTACCCATCCTTTTTGAGATGTCCATTAAAATTTATATTAAATTAAAATTGGAATGGAAGCAAATCTGACATCAAAGCTCACAGAGCTAGATTAATCCATATTCTGTTAAAGGTTAGTGTATTGCTTTCTCCATACTCAGGAAATGCAAAGTACAATAGAAAGCACTACCGATTCTTTTTTAAAAATGGATTATGCAGCCAAACTTTTTATTCTTGGTTATTGATAAAAACAATCATGAGCTTGATGCGCTTTTATGTTTGTTTCCAGTACAGTTAGAGGTATAGGCAGAGAACAGGATCAATAAGAGATTAGCATTTCTATCATTAACAGGATATTAGTTATCCCATGGCATTCATTAAACGTTCTTGTGAGATGGGACTCCTGTAATTAGAGTACATAAGCTATAAATATAATGGATTCATGCTACTTTAAAGTGCTAATAGGAGGATGGTCTTGGAAAAGAAATCAATGCATTGTCACTTCAGTCTATAATCAGAGCTCAACACCTACAATGAGATAATAAAGGATATGTGCCTGTGCTGACTGATGCTTTATCTTGAAACAGGTGTAGGCAGAGCTAGCCTGCTGAAGAGTCAGAAGAAGATGTTTTAAAAGACCATGTCAGGAAAGCATGCTAATGAAAAAAACCCAAAGGCTGTCATTGTCCTTTTGTAACCCCGAATTGTTGCAGAAATGAGGAATGCAGTTCTTTTCTTTTTCTGTTTTTTGGTTTGTGGGTGTTTTTTGCATTAGAACTGAAATGAACAAAAGATCGCTAATGTAATGTTTCCTTCCTTTGTTCAAATTCAGTGCTGAGTACAAGCGGAGAACTAAGTACGTGCAGAAAAGCTTGAATCCTGAGTGGAATCAGACAGTCATTTATAAAAATATCTCCATGGAGCAGGTGCGTGACTGGTAGTACTGTTCAGTGCAATTTGCTGCTTTATTATTTGTATGGTCTGCAGTGCTTACTGTGAGGAGAGCAGTGCTACTGGCAATTCTGTGAACCCCTGTAAAATCTTGCCAAATTTAGGGGAAATTTGGAACTATTTCCTTGCCTCTGATAGAATTATTATATCAATACTCTTTTCTTATCCCTTCTACTCATAAAAATGGTAATTTGTGGCGATTACACTCATAACCATGTCATAAGTACAGATGTAGCAATTTAAAAAATTGACAGTGGAATACAGGGAGGGAATAAATTAAGACATAAGTTTCTGAAGTAGATGCGGAAATCACTGTTGCTCTTCGTTCCAAAAGCCATGCAAGCTCACACAAAACACAGGTCGTACCGTTTTCTTATTCAAAAATATTTATAAAATGTACAGATACATTTTTAGATTTAGCAGCAATGTACAGCAATGGGCTTAGAAATATGAATAATCTGAAAAAAAATTAGAAGATATTTAATTTCCTTGTTACAGAAAGATTTAACTCACATCTGGGAAAGCGGTCTCTGGAAGTCTTCTCTGTTTCTTGGTGGGTTCCTAACTCTGACTGACCTGTAGGGTTAATTGAGGCAGTATGTAGCAACTGAGTCCCCTTTTTCTCCATCTCCACTTTTAAAGGGACTTTTTCCCATTTGAAAAAGGCATAATGAGCAAAATGATGATCAGTCCATTTGTTTAAATTATGAAGTATATTTTGTAGAATAATGGATCTGTGCACAGTCCCAAATCTTTTGCCTTTCTTAGTGTTTTATTCTTGATACTTTGAACTTCATTTGTCAAGGCCACCTAATGTTTCAGTACTTCTTAAAAAAGCCCACAATAATCAGACTCTTTAGTGAATAGATTTCCCAAAGCTTTTAATATACTTCTCCAACACGACACCAAGACCTCCGTATTATCTCCCTAACTTAAAATTTGGTTATTCATTCTTGTTCATTGAGAGGAACATAAATTAAGATACTCATTTTTGCATGGAGCAAAACCCTTCCCACAGAGGGACTTACAAGGTTGCTCATGCAATCTACACATCTGAACTTAACAGGCAGTAGGTCAGATTTACTTGAGAGGTACCCTGTAGTATATAGTGGTTATGGTTTGCTGGGCTTTACATGCTGTTTTATATAGGCTTGCATAAATGGTAGCTCATTGACAGTGCAAGCGTCAGAAAAAAAAAAACAAAAAACAAAAAACAAAAAAAACCCCTGTGATGTTTGTCTAGCTGCAACATAAACCCTGGGTCTTCTGGGTTTTGTGAAAAGGTTTGGTAAGACTTAGCAATATTTCCAAACTGAGCTTTCCATTTAAGAAAGGCTTTTCAGTTTACTTAATTTGTAATTAAGAGTGCTTGGGTGTTGGACATTCAATGGCTGTTTGATGATTTTAAATTGGATAATGATCTTAGTCATAGGATTTCTTGGACAGAGATTTTTATGTCAGAAAATCTAGTATCTTTGATGTCAGTTTTTTGGACATTATTTCATGAAATTTGCCTTTAGGTCACATATTGAATCTTTGAGCCTTTGCTTTCTAGTTGCAGATCTCCTCCTTTTCCCCTCCTCTGAGACTGTTATGCAGTGCTTATGATTATAAGTGTGTAAGCTTTGTCTGAGCACCACATATGTTTTATATTTTGTCCTCTTGTCCTCTTCCTCACACAAATGTGTGCAGGGAATAGTGTTTCCTTCCACGCCTTTCCATGGCTTGTATCTAGTGGTAAGATACCAGTGTGAGTCATTCTCCTATAAAATTCAGTGCCCTGACTTAGCAAATATACAGTAAAGCACATTTCTAAATCACCAAATAATTCCATGCTGCTGATAAGTACCCTCCACAGTTTGAAGAACTATCGGCATGCAATAATATATTGTTTGCAATCACAACCTTCATGAATGGATATTTCGAAATAGTTAGGAATATGAAGAGAAGTACAATACAATAATTGTGATAGACTGGGAATGAGTGTTCTGATCACCAAACAAGCAAAACTGCATCATACATGAAGTTTTACAGAGTTAGCAGTCATACCCTAAGATAAATTCATCAATCTTTATAAATATTATTTCTTCAAATAAACATTTCCTTTCCCTCCATCAAAGCATGGGTTGCTTGCTGACAGCAAATAAGTATTATTAAATATTTCCTAATATAGTCCTTTTAACGTCACTGTCTAGACTTTAGCTGGTTGTACAATTTTTCATTTTCCTTTTCTCTTTCATAACCTAGCTGAAATTAAAGTGAAAATAATTATGGGAAATAGATCACTCTTTGAAACGAAACAGACTTTTTCAAGGTTGGAATGATTAGTTTTATCATGTAGCAAATTATACTTTGACAGTTAGAGAAAAAATAAATTAAACTGTCGATATTTAGTAATTTAAGGTTTTTTGTTAAGTAATAAAGTGGAAATAATTACAGTTTGAGAGGAAGGCCGAGTACACACATTACAAATATTTCACAATAATTGCTAATTCAAGTCAAATGCCTACTCAGAACATGAAAGAAAGTATTAGAATGATTTAAGAAGATGGTAAAAGATGTAAGTTCTGTTGCTGGTCAGGCCGTTGGTATAATGTATGACCACAATATAAGGTGTGGCTTTGTTTTCTTCAATTTCTTACTTGTCAGAAAGCAGATAAAAGTATTTGCTTAAATGATGGATGTAATTCATTAAAGCAAATAGCTCTTGCTATAGCTCATGTCCTTAAATTGAAGGTAATATATTTAGAAAGAGTAATATTTTCAAAATGCTTGAGTGATGTAGGAGCCTATGTCTTATTTCCAAACGTAAGAAAATCTTTCTTACGAAATCAGCAAGGTGTTGGTACCTAAACCTTACTTAATATCTTCGACAAGAGAAAGTATGTTTCTAAGTCAGCTAGCAGAAGTCTTTTTGTCCTTCCATGTACTGAAGTACAGCAATATAGAGAAGAGTACAATAAAATGTTAAATATTAATGTAAACACAAATAAATATAATGCGTGATCTAATACAACACCTTCATTTCTGCTCATCAAATATCCTAACTGAGACTGCAATCTTTTATATTATTTCTGAAGTAATTATAGGAATTTACTTTCAGCATAGGAGAAAACCAAACTGCATTAAAATTATTTTTTTCCTCTAGTCATGAGTTGTATGAGATTTTCAAGGAATATGTATTAAATATTTCAAGTAACGCATATTTAGTTACATAGACCTGCATTATCCGTAAGAGCACCCAGTGCTCCTCAGACATTTAAAAGAAGAAACAGACACTTCTGTATGTGTGGTGTTGGTTATGTCTTCCATAAGATAACATATTATTTACATTGGCTGTTTCTGCATATTCCTTCATGTTCTTTAAATGATGGTTGTCTACAGCAGCTTAAAGCTAACTGGAGTTCACATGCAGTAATATGCTTTTAGGTGGGTTTTTATTGTTTAATAATAATAATAATAATAATAATAATAATAATAATAATAATAAAAAATAATTTTTCCACAAGGCAAAGCCTGAAATTAGTTGCAGCTTAGTAACACTTTTTTCATAATATGTTTAGAACTCAGATAAGGCTCACGACATATGTAAAACGCTTTCCTTCTTTTAGGGAAACTGTTTCATTTTCCTATTGATACATTGCCCACTTGCAGAAACCCACTATCAGATGGGTAGTGGGTTTCTGCAACCCATTTCTGTATTGCTGTCAGTTAAATTCCTGATGAGGATCTGAACTTCAGGCTTCATGACCTAAAACCGGGTGATGTTGGGCAGAAGCCTACTTTGTCATGATGGTATAATGACTTCTTTTAAAATCACTAGCCATTGAGTGTTCTTTGCCTTCAATAGTGGTACATAAATATGTCTTCAGAATAGCAAATTTTCCTCCTCTTTGAGACTCATTTCATGCACTCTGCCTAATGAAGTTCTTTTGATGGTTTTTCATTGTCATAATACTTTATAAAAGCTTTATTAAACTAAGAGGCTTAAAATAGATATCTCAAAGAAATTTAGAGTACTGCAAGTTTTCAGCAGTTTTATTATCATGCTAATGTAAAGAAGCTAGCAAAGTAGGGTTGCAGTTACTTGAAAATCTTCTCTGTTTTCCCCTTTCCACCAAAAATCCTTCAAATCTTTGGGTTTTTTTTTCCTTTCCTGAATCTATACATTCTTCTTTCTGTCCTTGCACAGTCATCACTTGAAATAAGAAGACAACACGTCCTCCCAAAACAGCAACAATTGAGACAATACATTTCTGAAAAGTATTTATGCTATTCCTCTTTTTTTAAAGGGTAAAAATACATATACTTAATATAACTTGTAGCAGGAAATTATGTCACCCAGGAAGCTAAAAGTAGCATGGACCAGTGACTGCTCAGCTCATTTTTTCAGGTTATTTTTCACATTGCACTTTCAATGCTATCTTGGAAGAGCAAAAAAAAGGAATTTTATTCACTCAAGGAAATCAGCTTTACAAATGTTCTGTAAGGGATGTTCAAAAGAGAATTTTTTTCATTCAACTTTTTGCCTAATTTTTGCAGGACATTTTAAAAAAAAATATTTAAGAGGAATATTGCTTAATTATGTAGGAATAAAACAGAGAAAGATGAAAGAATTGTTCTCAAATATTTTTTTTTTTAATCTTAGCTTTCAAGTCATGTTGTTGCCTGTGTAAAGAGTACATTGTTGATTCTAAAAATAGTACAATTCCCTTTTGTGTGGGTTTTCCAGGATATGCTGATTTAAACTTGATTTTCAAAGACACTGGCTTTGCATAGCTGCTCATTTTTTCTTAAGTTAGCTGGGAGCAGAAGATATTCTGAATACATAATAATGAGATGAAATTATCATTTAAATGCAATTTAAAGTTGTTAGAACTGTCTGAATCTGTGTTGCATTAAGCTGAGACAGCGGAAGTAAATAGCAAACAGTGCTTTTCTTGAAAGTATATATATTATGCACAGTAAATGGTATAGCTTATGATTTTGAACGACTTGATCCTTTGTTGTCCCTTTGTCCCAAGCAGCCATTTAATAGTTAGAGCAGTGAGTGACACATTGCTTCTGTTAGGATGATGACCTCAATTATCACATAAGATTTCTGGTTCTGACCCCTTTTATTCAACTATGTGAACAGAGTCCTGTTTTCCTTAGCAATGCTCGGAAGTGTCCAACAAATTCTTCACTTACAACTCTTAAACACTTACAACTCTTTAGGGACATGGTTTAGTGGTGGACTTGGGAGTGCTAGGTTAACGGTTGGACTTGATGATCTTAAAGGTGTTTTCCAACCTAAACGATTCTATGATTCTATTCTAACTTCTCAGCCTGACTTTGCAGACATCCCATACCCCCAGATTTTTATCCTTCTCTCTTTCAAGCTGCATTAATTTATTACTGCCTTTCCAGCCACCTGCTAGCCTTTTGCCCCACTGTACAACACCAGTAATCAATCCTTTCCCCACATGTCCCCTGGAATGACAGTCGGGTCAATCTGTCCAATAAGGTCAACTGCTTTGGTGAACGGCTTCTGTGTCTTGTGCTGTTTCGTCATATAAAAAGACTTACTTGTTTCTTACTGTAGCCTGTAGGAAGAGTGCTTGACACATGCTTAACAAGATCTGCAGATAATGGGTTTTCGTGGCTGTTATTAATACCTAAGAGTACAACTTGTGCTGCATATCTGGATCACTTACAGAGTCCCATTGAATACACTGAATTGCAGGGGTATTAAAGCCTGGTCTTCACACGTGAGGTAGTGTAAATAGGGTGTTTTAAATAATACATTTGAAATTCACCCTCAAATGCATTTTAGGCAAATGTCTGAGTTCAGACAACTCAGATCTGACGATGAGAAAAGCTGCAGAAATACAAAAATGGGGCTTTAAAAATCAGTTTGGCTCTTATAGTGGACACACATTCTGTCAAAAACAACTTGTGGAAATTCCTAAAATAGGGCCAAGCACAAGCCCATTTTTCTTGATAACAAATAATAGCCCCAAATTATTTTTCTGAGATCAAGGTTCATGGGAGGACAAAAGCTGCCTAGCTGTTGCTATGAAAAAGGGTACAAGGAGGAGATACTGAATATAAACCACCATAAAGACTTGATCTGAAGTTTATGATGGCAATGGGGTTAATTATCCTTTGACTTAAATTGCAGCTGAAAAAGAAAACACTGGAGGTGACTGTCTGGGATTATGATAGATTTTCCTCGAATGACTTCCTTGGTGAAGTGAGTATCTTATTTCCTCCTTTCTAACCCTGACTAGTTAGAAAGCTGATTAACTGCATGCTGGTGTTTGGAGACTGTTTGCTTCCAAGGTATGGTACATGTTAAGTAAAACCTTTGTTACATCACAGTTTTACTGCTGACTTCATAACAAATGGTCGTGATTTCTTTCATTTATACATGAAAGATGCTTTCCTTTTATCTCGATAAACTGTGGGCAAGTTCATTTAGGACTCAACCCAATGTTACTTAACTGAAAATTAAGATATTTTTGAGCCTGAGATAGTAACAGCCTTCACAGTGACTGAATGGGGAATTCTCGTTATAACTGATAAGCTGTCTGTCTTGATTTTAACATAACATGAGAAGGCTGAGAACTTATCAGTCTTTGTAAATGACTAAAGGATTAAATTCTGCCATAAAGCCATAATTTAGCACGTGCACAAGTATCTGCAAGTGTCAGTAATTTGGTCTGCTGATCAAGGTCTCATTTTTAACGCTGCAAAATAGTAATATCATTACCACAGTATGACTGAAGGCAAAATCTTGTAATTAATAATAAATGAGATGAGTGATCATGGGAAGAAATAGGCTCTCTCTTTTAAAAGCAAATGAACAAACATATGCACATATAATACAAAATTACCAGCAATAACTATGGTGTCAAAAAAGTAATTAAAAACGTTATTACAAAAGAGGATTATAATTAGAAACAGAAGCCCAGGAAAATCGATCGCTCATATACACAGTAACTCAGAGTATCTCTGCTCATTTTGCATTTGAATTTCACAAAAAAGGCACTCAGTTTGGCTCCAGTTCCCCTTTGTGTAACTACAAAACTGAGCAATCAGTGTCACTATTTGAACAATTACTAAAATAAATGTATAGGAAGCAGCTACATGATTACTTATTTCCTGCATACTGCATCAGTATTCTTGTTGAGTTCAGCATGTTTGTCCAAATGCAGGGCTTTACTGAATATTTACATCATTGTTTATGACATTTAGAAAATGGATGCTCCAGCAGCTGCTTCTACAGGAAGATTTAAACTTTTGCCTTCAAATATTTTCAAGCTCTAGAACTATTTTATTTATTAAATTATTCAAACATAAATATGAAAACAGTTCTTCATGGAAAAAAGGAATGGAAAAGACTATCCAGTGTATTTCAGGACCAGGATGTCCGGAGGAATCCTGCACCATAAGATCAGATATGGGATATCCAAATTGTGCCCTAAGGACTTGCTTGAATAGGGCCAGCACCACTTGCGTGCCCCAGATGGCAAGTAGCATATCATGGTTCACATCCATGAAATGTGAGCCCTCCTCCCCTACAGAGCAGAGCCCCTACCTATACCACCTATTGGGAACAATCCTCAGCCATGCTGTTCTCCAGGTCATTCCCAAAGCCATGACAAAAACCACACCAAGGAGCATGCTAAAGAGTTAATCTGTTCAAATTAAGTATAGACCTAACCAGGCAGAATAAGCCAGGTCATATACAACCTATGAAGCTGAAAGAAAAAATGAAAGAAAAAAGGCTTTTAACCTTTTCAAAAAAATCAGTTGTGAAGAGACTTCCTTATCCCTAAACTTGAAGAGGCTTTCTTTTATTCAGGGTCTTGTAATAAACTGACGAAGACATCGTTCCCTGAGGTAATTGCGTACTTTATTTGTCTAGCACTTCCAAAACTTCCCTACCTGACATTAAATTTAACCCTCTCACCTTACAGCCAAATGCAAAGCTATTTTTGTCCTTTTCTTCATTCAAGACTCTGTGATGATTCTCTAGAAATTTACATCTCTTGGCCCTCTCAGCTGCAGGACCATTAAGGGAGGAAGGGTCCTTATTGGTCCCATTCCTCATTTTTTTTACTTTGTTTTTTTAAAGAAATTTCACAGAACTCCTGCTAGCAATGCAGGTGGCCCAGAGCAGATTTTAGCTACAGTGGGTGGATTTTTTTAGCCAAGTTACTTGTTTCATTTCCACATTGCCATTGCATCTCCCTTTTTTTTTCCAGTGAAGTTTTGAGGCCTAAATGGCCTATTAAATTATATTATTTTAGTGAAGTGCGAAGATATCCCTATTCTTTTCTTTTTGTTACAAATTCTGTATATGTGGATTTTTTAAAAGGATCAACAAGCACCAGTCGCATATTATTGAAGATCTTATGAAAAACAAATATAAAATTATTTGCCCCTTTACTAGCACTGACAAAAAGGAGAAAATAACACTGCCCAATACTTCTCTTAAGATATGTCTATACAGAGGCAGGGTGACTAGATGTCTTTTTAGTCTAGCTTTCAAGCTAGTGCTCACAAGCTACTATTTAAACTGTCTAGCCATCTTGGTATGGAGCTATGTCTAAGTTCATAGTCCTTACTGAGGTCATGTTGAGAAGACATGTTAGTTCAGACACATCAGTATGCTAACAAATGTGGGTTTGGGATCACAGCTGGCTTATATCAGGCAAAGTCAGAGCATGGGCAAGGAGTCCTGAATCTCTCAGCGCACAGCCTTATACACTTAACTTCTTACATTTGTTTGCAACTTCCAGTAACACAACTGTAGACTCTTCTGCTATAGACAATCATTAATAGACCAGATTATTATTATTGTACTTTGATTTATTTGTAGGTATTGATCGAGTTATCCAGTGTTTCTCAGCTTGACAACACTCCTCGGTGGTACCCTCTGAAAGAACAGAGTGAAAACATTGATCATGGGAAATCTCACTCTGGACAGAGTAGCCAGCAATCTCCAAAACCATCTGTCATCAAGAGCAGAAGTCATGGAATTTTCCCGGACCCCTCCAAGGGTAGGAATCACTTGGTGCACCTGATATGAAATGTTTTCCCAGATGATGGAAAAACCTTTGATCTATGGAAGTTCTAATTGAAAAATAAAGTTAATGCTATCAAGTTTGTATGCACTTTTATTAAAAATGTATTTATCTCTGTGATTAATTCATTGGAGCCAAGGCTTAATTTGGCTCAATCAGTGCCAGCCAACTTACTAAGTAGTTGTGTCCTTAAAACAGCAGCTTACAAGCTCTATGTGCTTTGCACATCTACTATAGATTCTGTGCCCTTTTAATTTTTCTGGTAGCCTTGGCCAAATTCAATACATATTTAGCTTTCTGTTTTTCATGTTCCTTAAATATTCTATGGCATTTTATCTTCTGGAAATGTCACATTAATATTTTATAGAATAACAATTATGCCATGATAATGCATATGCATTTCCAGTCAATGATAATGTGCTGTAGCATATCTCAATTGCATTGGAAATCAGTGGAGATGATGTAGTAGAATTATACTAGTGTTTACAAGAGGAGAATTGATCTCAGTGTCTCCTGCTCCCAGAAATTTGCCTCTTTTTTTTTTTTTTTATACTAAATAGTCAGTGGCCAGTTGCTCACTTAAAACACAGTGTATGTCATATCAAAGTAAAAGCCATCCCAAATAGCATCTGGATGAGAGCCTCAGAGTGTTAAGACTCTGCTCTATCTCCTCTCTGTTCCTCTGTGCAGTGTTTTGCCAGTAATTGGTGTCTATATAAGATCTATACATAAATTAGAGGTTAGTATAGAAGCTATTATAAGTTAGGGTATGGTTTTGACCGGGGCATTCATCAGAATAAAACTGCTGGCATTAGCTAAATATTTGGTACTGGTGTAAGTGATGATAGTTAGACTCTACATACTAGAGAAGTAGAAAGTGGAAAACAAATCAGTCTTTACACTACGCTGTCATTCCACCAGTGTGAACCATCACAGGGGGCATAATTCACACATGATAGAAACCCAATAGTCAATTAATTATTCCCTGGGCCAAGGAACAGTGGGGAAGTAGAAAATGGTGCTTCATAAGAGTTTCCTAATAGCGATATATCCTGAGACTTTGAATGACATTGCACGTCTTAATCTTTATTCCTTGTTCTGGAATGAAGCTTAAAAGGCCAGTCAAGAGAACGAAATGAAATTGTTTGTGTGTTTTTAATAAATGCAACAATTGTGCTTCTTCATTTTCTTGGTAGACATGCAGGTGCCCACCATTGAGAAATCCCACAGCAGTCCAGGGAGCTCCAAATCTTCCTCTGAAGGACATCTACGCTCTCACGGTCCATCTCGCAGCCAAAGCAAAACCAGCGTCACTCAAACTCACCTTGAAGACGCTGGGGCAGCCATCGCCGCTGCTGAAGCAGCTGTCCAACAGCTTCGCCTTCAACCAAGTAAAAGACGCAAATAAATTCCTCAGCATGGCAGCTTAATGTTCATCTGTTGCCTTTTTCCCTGCTGTCCTTCCCTTTTCGGCTGTTTTTTTTCTGTTCTTGGCACACTATGCTCACTCTGTTCAATGTCTTTCTTTGTGTGCCTGTGTGTGAATACATATAATTACAATATACTTTTGTATTTAGAAGTCTTTTATTTATTTATTTATTTATTTTAATTTATATAGACTGCAGTGAAACTGGCTGTTTCTCCATCAGTCCCTTCACTCATGCTCCATGATGTTCCATGGTTGTGCATGACTCACAGAGAATTCCATTGTGTGGTGGTGTTTTGATGTCACTAAATAACTACCAATGAAATAATCAAAACCTGCAGAGATGCGGCTGCCAGCTCTTTAAGTTCCGCACAACAAGTACTGAGAGCGGATTAACAAGATACATATTTAAGTAGTAATCAGGAAGGACAGTACTGTAGACACAAAAGAAGATTTAAAGTTAAAGAAAAAAGTTTTTTAACTACATGGCTAAGATTTCTATTTTTGAAACATGACTGTAAATATCTAGGGGGTTTTTTTTAAAGAAATATAAGGCAACCTTCTTAATATCTCAGATAAAATTATGTTAGTTATGAGCAGAACAGCAATAGACAAAAACATTAAACACGTTAAATGCTATATCATTAAATCCACAAAGCCATTAACAACATCAGATTTCAACAGTGTTATCAGGTTAGCAAAGTCAAAGGGACTTGAGAACTAAGTCAGGTGTCATAGTTCAATTTTTCTAGTAATTTTTGTGCCATGGATTGATTAAGGGTCAAGATAGATTTCATCTGACAACTTTAAATAGATTAATAAATTAAAACTTTTCCATTCAAAAGAATTTTTCCCCAGAGTATATTTCAGACCAGTATCTGATTGCTAGTTGAGGGTTTAGTTGATGGGAAATTAAAACTCTCTGACTGTGGAATCATTGTGTTTGTCTTCAGGACTCGTTGATATGCCATAAACTTACCGTGGTATAATGGAAAAACTGGGGGAAAATTATTTCCCTTGTCTTCACCATCATTAATAAAGAAACAGCCAGTTTTAATACCCTTTAATGCTGTGCATGTGGTGTCTCTTTGGTGTTTGAAAACACTACTTATTTAAATACAGAAAAAACCACTTCTGTTTGCATGAATAACATTTAAGCTGGTTCCATCTGAGGATACATACTCTGGGTTTCCATTTCACCCACACTGCCACAGCAGCACATAAAAGCGGTCAGTCTAATCATGCCAGGAAGCAGCACAGACACAGCATAGCAGGAGTCCTCCCTATTCAAAGAACTCAGTCTGACAATCTGCCTCCACCAGCCAATGACAACAAAGACCAAAGCCAACTAGCCCTCAGGAAAGTGATGTCTGATGGACCAGTCAAGCCTGAAGGAGGTGAGCAGAAAGACATGGTTAAGAAACCAACCACATCCCAAATCCTTCTTGCCATGTCTGCTAATTCATTGCGATATTTAATTATTTATTTTACCCCTCCGTTAAGTGCTGTAAATGTTAACATGAATCAAGAAATCTGCTTGATTTTTCCACATCAGCGCATAAATCCATAATGAAAAACTGTGCTAAAAAACATTACAAAACAACAAACATGTGCACTTCCATTCCACTGGAGGACTTAGACTTCTGTTGAAAAATGGTATAGCTTTGCTCATGTTGTTGCCTAATAAAAAGCATGCATCCAAGTTGGTCTGCTTAAGCATGATTGAACATTTCTTGTGCTGTGACAAAAATCTAATTGCACATTTTTGTTTCTGGAATTCTAATTGGGACATTAACAATTTCTTTTTCCTTTACAAACATAGTTGTTATGTCAAAAGTCATTAGCATAGATAATTTTTCAAACCACCAGTGGAAAGGAAAGTAGTTTTGATCAATGTATAGCTCAATCTCTTGACAACTTTCCTATCAGCCTCTTAAAAGGTTATTTTCTACCCTTAGGCACCTGTACATCAAACTTAAATACCATGTATCATCAGTTTATCCCCTCATCACAAATAAAGAGCCAGAATCTCAGTTGGTTCAAATTGGCACTGTTCTTTTGACTTCTGGAGCATTTTGCTTATTTCCATGGAATCTGAGGGGTTATCCCAATAAACTTACAGACTGGACTCCCAGATCTTCTCTTGTGCTGTAATCCCTTCCCAAGTTCTCATGATTCATTGAAGGTTTTTCTGTCAACACCATTGCACACCATGGACAATACAGTCTGGCTGAGAAGGTTGTAGGAGAGAAAGAGGGAAAGATACTTCAAACAATATACCCTAAAGGCAACAAGTCATTAAGAGTACTAGTGTGATGTTAAAACAGCTAATCAACAGGGGCAAATTTAACAAATAATTTTAAACATTGTATTCAGAAATAACAAGTTGTTCCTTCTGGGAACCTTAGGAACTCTTCCATAAACATATCTTTCTACACATATGTGTGCATCCACCCACACACGTATTGTCTTACTCCACAGCTCAACTCCACACACTCAGTTCAGGCAGAAGCCAGAGGATATCATGGTACTAGTTCAGGCGTCATGACTGAAAGGCCCATCCTATTCCTGTGATGTATACCACAGAAATCTAATTCTGTAAGGCATGTCCTATGAGGAGTGGCCAAGGAGTTTGGGTTTGCCCAGTTTGGAGAAAAGGAGGCTGCGGAGCGACCTCATTGCTCTCTGCAGCTTCCTGAGGAGGGGAAGTGGAGAGGGAGGTGCTGAGCTCTGCTCCCTGGTATCCAGTGATAGGACATGTGGGAATGTTTCAAAGCTGTGCCAGGTGAGGTTTAGACTGGACGTTAGGAAGCATTTCTTTACTGAGAGGGTGGTCAAACACTGGAACAGACTTCCTAAAGATGTTGTTGATGCCCCAAGCCTGTCAGTGTTTAAGAGGCATTTGGACAATACCCTTAATAACATGTTTTAACGTCAGGTCAGCCCCGAATTGGTCAGGCAGTTGGACTACATGATCACTGTAGGTCCCTTCCAAGTGAAATATTCTATTCTATTCTATTCTATTCTATTCTATTCTATTCTATTCTATTCTATTCTATTCTATATAAAACTCTTATGATCTCTTGAGGTGTAATGTCTGTAGAGATTTACTTGTAGTCCTGTGATGCCTTTTGGCATAGACAAGAAATACTAAAACCTTTTGCTTGTGATATGAGGTTGAATAAGGGTTCACATACATACCCTTTTATGCTAAGGAAATAGCTAGGCTGTTGGCTTCAAGTGTGCTTGCCACTGAACTGTTATGCTAGCTTCTTTACTTTTAAAATTGCAAAAAGGCTATGCATCGGTATGCATTTGCCTCAGCAATATTAGAAGCATCATAGAGAGTTACGGGAATAAGAGCCCACATTAATATCATTAATATATAAGTGAGGTTAGAGCTACAATGAAGAGACATGGTACTTTTGTCTTTTTACTTCTGACAAATATACACAATGCATGGTCAGCTACATGAAGTTTACAAGTCTGGTTGCAGAAGTTTTGGCTTCTTGTTGTTGTACCAAAACTAGTTTGTCCTAATTTATTCATATGAGCTGGGCCAATAATTACCATTTTTCAGGAACAAAGAGCAAGATTAGTTAATTGCAGTTTTGTGGAGTATGTAAGTAAAAATGAGAAGAGACTATGACCTTGAATAGAAAAAGCACCAAAGATACTCCAAACAGCTTTCGATTTACGGAGTTCTTTGCAGGAGGAAGAGGAGATGAAGAAAGGAGAGGTTTCCCTTGTAGTTTAAAAATTCTAAAAGTTAAGACTATTGTGAACAATCAATATTAGGGCATCATCAGTTTGCAAGTCCATTCCTACAGGGGTGCTGCATGGTTGTGGTACCCACCCTACTTCATTGGCACCTGGAGAAGAACCCCTTATGAACTGGTTTTATGGACTGGAACAGTCATCTTGGCAAGTTAGTAATTTTTTGGTACTAAATCTCAAAGCCCTTTATTAAAGAAGCCATTACAGGTAGTCTACAACATTATTATTATTTTTCATCACAGTTATTTCTCTGTGAATTTATCAGAGAACAACACCTTTCTAGAATAACTGTTTGGTTTTTTTCAGCCCAAGCACACAAGGTGGTAATAATCTAGCAAGATTTCCACAAGAGTGATGGGAAAAATTCTGTTCTGTGAGTGATCATCCGTCCTTCTCTACCTAAGAGAACCCTAAGAAAGAGTTCCCTCCTTTAACCTAGTCTCTCAATAGCTTTTCTTTTTTTCTTGAATTGAAATGGCACTTCAAAAAAACAGAACAAAACAAGAACCCTCAGACATTCTTATAATGCCCCAGAGAAATTTTTCTCTACTTCTGACTCCTAGGATGTTTTCTGTTGGATGTATTTTGTCAGTTATTAATTGTATGTCTGATGAGAAGTAAAAAGGAAATCATAAACAAAACCAGCACCTGTGGTATACTTATTACATTTTGTGAAGGCAAAGAACTTGCATCAGTTTAAGTTTATTGGACTAAACTAATTCTGTATTCATTTTAAACAATAAGAAATGTATTTTAATCAATCAGTTTTAAAATTAAGGTGAAGCTACAACAGAAAACATTGGTCTTTATTCAGCACCTTTGTAAAATCCAATATTCAACTACAGCATTTAATTAAAAATAAACCCTGAAGTATAATTTCCTTGTTGCCTGTGAGAGATAAGAGTGTGATCTGCAAAGACACCAATTGCATAATACACATTCCCATCACACCCTCAGAGAGGAAAAAAAAAATTTCAGAGCCAACCCTTTGAAGGCAGAAGTTGCAAGGAATCCAAGTGAGAGGGAGAGAACAGTGCCTAGGTTTCAGTTAATTTGATTTCGCTTTTGTGAAAAATCTGAATCATTGCCAATTACACATTCACATAAAATTAAGTACATTCCTTTCAACATAAATCTGTGTATTAGGGTTTATCCACCAGATGACTCAGTTTTAGAGATAACATAAATCAGTCCACCTCCTTTTAAGTCAGTAATTTATCCCACAGAAGGATCTTTCCATTGTATGGAATTTATTTGGTGTAGGTCACATATGTTTTAAATATAATAAATTATTTTTAGCGTTCTTCAGAAATTTGAACACTTAGAGATACTCTGATGATAATTACCAGTTCCCTGGATATATGCATATAAAACAGTAGCTGCATCTGTAATATAGTTATTTACTGATTTTATATAAAGGGCCTTTTCAAAGCCAGTCTACAGTTTTAAAAGAATGAACTAAGTCCTTTAGTTGTAATAACTTCCAAAAAAGTGAATAAGAAAGACAAGGAACAGCAAAATTTCACTTCAGCGTCCATGCGAAGTAGAAAGGTGCACCAGCTCTGCCTCACTAGAATAGAAAGTGTAGTTTCCAGTGAAATAAGAAGTTCAGAGCACAAAAAAAAAGATACTGTTCACCATATAGTCAGCATTTATCTACGTAACTGGTCATTTTTTAAAGTACACGATTTTATAGGGAGCTACATGGTGGTGTCTACATGGGTGTTTAACATACCAGCTTAATGGGTAAAATTCAATGGGCTTGTCCTTATTTGCAGAGGAAGAGGTGACAGTTTTGCCCCAAAAGGTACAATGATTGTACAATGAAAAAACAATTCTTCTATTACATCAGAATACCATATGGTCAACAAAACAAAAAATTATTTTATGACCAAAGAAGAAAACTTCTATAAAATTATTTTGATTCTTCCTAGGATCTTTGGAGAACAGTATATTAACATTTAAATAGCTAAGTAGGTGATTGTAAGCCGAACATCATTATAGTTCTATGCATTTTTCTATACTTTCAGACATACACTCATGAGAGAGGAGCTACAAGTCAATACGCTGTTGCTTGAACATCATATGATGATGGATGCCATATGCACCTCCTCTTTTATTTGGCACACTTCAAAAAAACCAACCAAACAAGCAAACAACCTGCCAGGAGAAAAGCACCGCTATAGTCTTGACCTGAACTAGTTAGCAAATGTTAAAGCTCTAGAGAAAATACCATGTGTTTCAGTTAAAGGTCCAAACATACCTGTTAACTTACCATTGAAGGTAATACAAGCAATATATTTCTACAGCAATTTCTGTCTATTTTTCCTTTATATGTTACTCAGTAATAGAAAGGGTTTTTTTCAACCCTAAATCTCTGGGAATTTAAAATCACATTTTCTGAAAACCTCCAAATCTAACGTATGTACCCAGAACCTATTTATTTCTCCCATCTCATAGGGAACATTTCATCTTTTACATTATATTTTTTCCACTGTGAAACAAACACTTTTCTGTGATATCCTAAGAGGAAACTACTTTCCAAATAGCTGTGTGTCAAGTAATTTTACTTTGTCAGAGGGATGTCTACTATCAGAGCTAATAGTGTTATCTAGAATAT